AAAAACTTTTCATTTGAATCTTACTAGAATATTATCATCATGAATTTTAACAATTATTATGTTAGATAAAAACTTATTGAACTTTCACAACAATTTAACTTTCCATTAATATTTGATACACTAACATTACCTTAAAAATACCAAAACTCATACATTGTACGAGCATACAACTAGTATATCTATAAGAGTTTACACTCCCCTCACATGGAGGAACCTGCGTACAATAAATTATAATTTATTTTACACAGCCCCCTCCATGTGAGTACCCCGCAAGCTCTTATTACACCCTAAAGTGTACAAGTGGTTTAATCCATATATTTAGCCTCTGTCCAGAAGAGATTTTCCCAAGATTTTAATCCAAATTTGGACCGTAAGAAATGTAGGGTGAGCCCCTTCCAACTGTAATTTCTAACTAATTTTTTGGTAAATTACCATAAATGTCCTTCTTTCAAACAAAGTGAATTAAATGTCGAAGGGTACATTGGCAATTTTGCAAAATGTGGTTAATTAGTGCAGTTGTTTTTCAAATTATAACGGTAACAATTCTCATTAAAAATTGCTAATAATTGATCCTAGGTAGGCGCTAAAATTTATAAAACCAAAATCTTTAATATCGGATGGGACTTCTGGCTCGAGCAGGCGTGTGGACCACGGGCGCAAGCTATTAACTAGAGTTGGACAAAACTCTCGAATCGAACCTAATCGAGCGATTCTTTTTAAGTTAAATATCCGAACGAGTATCTAAATTAAGAAATGACGGGTTCGGTTCTAGACCAAGAATCGAATCTTCCCAATTTTTTTAATTTTTATCTTAAATAATCCAAATTATTTTATTTTTTTCTAAATAAACTTGCTAGCTAATTAATTTAACCCAAATTCAAAATATGATTTTACTATTTCTAATTTCCTACCAGGTCCAACTTAATCAAATTAACCTAAATTTTACTAAAATATCTTATTTTACCATAGTGTTATTTCTGTCGTTCTATTATTGTGAGCTCGTTATCTTTCTCTTTCTGTGATTTTAACAGTCAAATTTATGAATAACTCAACAAAGAAAATGCGCAAAAGATATTACGAGATTGGACTACATTATTTTGTAAGAGTTAAGATTGAACATGTCATAATCGAATTAATGTAGCGTTGTTATAAATATATATAAAAAATAATTATTGTACTGAACCTAGGAACTAAATCGAACGGAACCAAACTCGAATGGTTCCATAATTAAATT